TAAGCAGATTTTTGTTTCTAGATCTACTGTCCTCCACATTGGTTTGGGGAGATAATCAGATGTGAGTATAGTTGGAAAGATGAGTTGGTAGAGTTATAAAAGGTAATCAGAGAGAGAGAGAGAGGTGTTTGTATTTTCTTTGCAGATGGCTTGTCTCACTTAAAACTAAATAGTTCCCGGGGCGCCTGGGTGGCGCAGTCGGTTAAGCGTCCGATGGCAAAAGTTGTTTGATTTCACCCAAGTAACAAGAAAATATTCTTTCTAAAGAATTGCAATGTTCATTTATTTTAAGGAAGGCGCTACGATGCATGGAGGGAAGGGGTAGAGAGAGGAGGACAGAGGATCAAAGCTGGCTCGAACACAGCAGAAGAGAGCCTGATACTACAGGAGCTCCCGAACTCGCGAACACAATGAGATCATGACCTGAGTTGAAGTCGGATGCTTAACAAACTGAACCGCAAGGTGCCCTGAAAGTATTCTTAAATATATCTATTTCAATATAGTCATTTTGTATGAAATGTATAAGAATGTGGCCGTTGGCGGGAATCGGGGGTTTTGCTGGAACGGTCTTGGTTTGCCATGCTGTATGTACCATTCCTATTTGGTGTCCAACAGTAACTAGTACTGAAAGCCGGCTTTATCATTTGGTACACTAAAACGAGCACTTGCCTTTATTTCAAAATTGCGCACACCCTACATCGAACATTCTTACCGATGACTACTTCGAACGCAGGATAGACCGTATGCCAGACTACCGTGACCAGGTAGGTGACCGAAGAATAAATAAATCGAATATCGAGTAATGAAACAGTTTAGTACCGATTACCATCTACATTGGTGTCAGATAACGAACGCCGGGTTGGAATGGTTACATAGAAGACAATGAATGACGTCAGCGCACTTTATCGAATGCCATCTGCCATTGACTGCGAACGTCTGGTCAGGTTGTCAGGTCTTCAGATATGATACAATGATCCATTAGTGGTGGTACAATCTCCCTCTCTCCTCTCATTAACAAATATACTCTTGTCCCAAAAATAAATAAAACGTTGAAAAAAAAAAAAAATTAAAAAAAAAAAGCAAAACTAAATGGTTCC